TAATAATCAAATTAAAGTTATTCTAACTGAAAACACACAAAAATGAACTATTTCCATAGAAAATCCATTTCCTTGAAGCATGACATTTTCTTTTTCAGATCAGATTAAAAATGGTCGTCTGGCAGTCATTTTATTTTAACAAATGCTGTCAGACTGCCAGTACTTCATGCACAATTATTCATTTTATGATCAGATTCATGATGGCTGACTGGTGGCCATTTTAATGTTAACAATTCAGCATTTCTGCTGGATTTCTTTCATGTATGGATGGATTTTGTTCATACTTGGTACATACATTAAATATAATGGAAACGTGATGCACATGATTTTGTTTTTTAATTTGGATTCAAAATGGCTGACTGGCAGCCACTTTGTTTTAATAAATGCAGTTCCAGAGCCATATCTCTGACATAAAGAGACTGATAATTTTCAAACTTTTTACATATACATCATGTCGCACATATACACATGTAATTGATTAAAGGCAGTCATGTTAATGCTAAAAATGCATAAAAATCTAGAATTTCCGCCATTCTGGACCCATGGATAGTAGTAGTAGTTATTGTTATGATTAAATTTGTACATACATTGAACATTGTTGTACCATCATGATTTTTCAGATAGGTTTAAAAGAACCATGTCTCTGACATGCCTTGACTGATTGCATTTGAACTGTGCAACTACATTGTACATCATGTTATACTTACTATTTACTAATATGCGTTTGTTTCAAGCTCAAATTCAGAATGACCAACTCATTTTAGTTTTGTTTGCTATTGAAAGAAACTCTGTCATGTCATTTAATTTAATCACTTATTAATCAAGGATTTTGTAAGCCTAACACGATAAACCTCAATGTGGTGATAACTTTTAATGATAGCAGCAATATGCACATGTAAATTAAATTCCCGGAGAAAGTAAAAGCTTAATAAACAGAGTGATTTTACATTTGTGGAGTCAGTGGGTTGTGTACAGAAATATTTAATCAGTTGAAAGTACACTGCGCTCTATAGTCAGCAGAGAGTTGACATACAGCCCACAATATTATTAAAACATAATAAAAGTTGTTCATCTATATACCCCTATTCTGAATATATAAGGCATTTGGAACAAAGGTGATCATAAAGTCTTTTATCGGCATACAGACATCACCTCTGACACTGTATTACCTGGCAAATTTCACTGTTCTGAGATAAAAAAAAACCTGTCCATTTTTTCGACTATTTACAAAGAACATTGTATTGATTGTGTGCTAAATTTAATTATACTGATTGCTTGAGCATTGGTTAAGATTTCTATGAAATCCTTGTTAGATTCAAGGGCACAGAAGAAAAGGTTGTAGTCCCTCGTAAATAAACTATTGTCAATACATCAGTGACTACCTTCTGTTATCTGTGCATAAGTAGGCTTTCTATAGTGTATACTGTCTTGATACCACCACCTAAATAGCCCCCTGAATCTGCATAGCTACACCTATGAACCCTTCAAGCTAATGGTTAAAAGAAAACAAGTCTAGTTGATTTTTGGCCAATTATCATTTCCGCATGCAAGCCCACTCCTGCAAATACCTAGATGCATTTCAGATTGTGGAACACCAAGTATGTCTATTCAAAAAGTTTACCAAACTTGGTGCTCTACTTTGGCTGGCCAAAATACATACAATTGATATTTGTAATTCAAAAACTAGTTTGGATATATATGTACCATACTCAAAGTTTTATTTTTCAGACTTTCAAATGGCCATTTACAGGGTAGGAAATAATATGAAAAAACGTTCAGGAAAGTGCGTCCAATCCTTTAACAGATATTGTCTTTTTTTTTTTTTTTAACATTAATTTTTTTCTTTATGTATATATTTCAGCTGGGAGAGACAAAAGGTTTGTTGCGTATGAGCAATTTGGAGATCGTCGTGACGATTTAGCAAGTGCTCGTACATTTTTCTACGAAGATGAGATGAAGTGTGATAAAAACATGAAGTTTTTTCTTGATTGCATCGATGCTGCAGGTCAGTATGCTACACTCGTGATGATTGGTTACCACATAAGATGTAAGCCAATCATAAGTATGCTTACATCATGCTAAGAATAGCAGGGTCAATTTGTGATGTTCATGTGAATTGAATTTAGCTGATTTTATTTATCAGTGAAATTAGCAAAATAAAATTTCATTTAGGAACAGTGTAATACCGGTAGTGCAAAATCAATGTCAGATTTTGAAATTTCAACAAGTTTATTGAGTCCATGACTATTAAAGCGCTGTGGTCATCGTTGTCATGTAAATAAACAATGTATTTTACACACGTAAGATTTTAAATTTAATCTACAAAGAATCATTGGTTGGCATGACAACTTCTACACCTACTGGTGATTAATTTTGCCTTATTCATGCACTTTATTTTTTTCTTCAGGCGAATCGTCTGAGGATGGTTTTGCTGCTATTAAACTGACTGCACTGGGTAGGCCGCAAATGTTGGTAAGTTGTCTTGCTTGTTGTCTGTCATACAGTATATAGCAGCCATCTTATGCCTGGATATACTCACTTCTCACTTTATGTGGGTGAATGGTGCATGTGTTCTGAGTGGAAAATTCATGATACATACCTAATTAGCGGCATTCAAGAATTCTGGGTCAAGTACACCCTCTGAGTTAACATTCCTTGCATGTTGCATTCATGATACAAGATAGTGCTTGCACGTTCCATTGGTGTTACACTCAAAATAATCTAGTAGACAAGTAAACTTACTTACTAGTATATGCTTCAATGAATTGCATTTTAAATATATACTGTGAAATACTTTATTTTAGCTGGAATTAATTTTCGCTGAAAAGACATTTTGGGTGTTTTGTATGGAGTTTATTTTCACTGAATTTTGATGAGTTGAATGTAAAACATAGGTGTATTCACTAGATTTTCACGGAAACATCCCTTCAGTGAGAATTAAGTATTTCACAGTACATGTAAATAAGATTCTGACAAACAATTTTGCTGTAGAAGTTGCCCAATTATCATCAATATTCTAGTTGAGGCATCAGGAAAAAGTGAAAAGCCTTTATTTGGTTCTAAAATAGGTGTCACAAAGAGCTGACATTTACAGGCCAAAAAAAAAATTATTGATAGTGGATGTTAGACAAAAGTGAATTATCAATGTTGCGGTACAATCTTTAGTATTTGATATCAGCGGAAAAACCACATACTGTAAAATACTTTATTTTCACTTGGAATTAATTTTCGCTGAAGTAATGATTCAATGAAAATAAAGTTCAGCGAACATAACTTTTCTCCTATATTTTACATTTAACTTATCAAAAATCAGTAAAAATAAATTCTATACAAAACACCCAAAAAGTCTTTTCAGGGGTTGAAGAATACGGTGGTCCGAGGTCCATAGCACTAATAATCCGTCAGACCATTGATTTTATAAATAAAAAAATAATAAAGGTGTCTGCATATAACAATTTAATCTAAAAACAGTCCTGATATTTATAATCTCAAAACTGAGTTTATTACGTGGAACGTAGTGACGTCCTCCGTTTTCTTACGCAGACTGTAATTGGTCAATAATATAGCACTCGGAAACATCAATGATGTCTGCCTACTTTGTGACATAAAGTCATAGTGAACCAGAGATACTCGCGAACTTGACGAAGGAGAAGAAATATGATCGTGAGAAACGTGTTCAGACTTTCAAGTCATATTGGACAACTGAATTTCCTTGGGTACACCACGATGAAGTTACGAATACTATGTTCTGTGAATATTGCCGAAACTATCTTCTGTCATCTGATAAGTCAAGTGCCTTAGTGAAAGGAACGACTAATTTGAAACTCGATCCGCTACGATCTCACGATGTCATCAACGAACACTTATCCTGTAGCCGACAGTTCTTGAGAGATAAAGATGGCCGAGCAGCAACGCCGGTGTCACAGGAAAATGTATTTGAAACTCGTATCATCAAATCCTTCACGCGAATGGGTAAAGAAAACCAAGACCGAATGAGCAGGAAAGCCTTTTTCTGATTTCGAATTTATTTGTGGTATTCAAAAGGAAAATGGATTAAAGCTCAGAGAAAATTATGTTAATAGTCATGGCTGTACAGAATTTATGGAACACATTGCTTCAACATTAAGAAAGGACATTTCCCAAGAAATCAAGACAGTGAATTTTATCAGTGTTCTTGGCGAGGGTAGTACAGACAAATCAATTATTGAACAGGAAATGACCTATGTACGCTATATTGGGCCACGTACCAAGTTACCTGTCACCTGCGAGGTTGCGATTACATCGGTAGAAAATGCCACATCACAGGGGGTTTTTGATGCCTTGATGAATGGATTGTCAAGTGTTGATTTAAATTTGGACGATCTCAACCCTGATCATCATCATATATCATCAAACTTTGATGGTGCCTCTGTGAATATGGGAAAGAAGACGGGTGTCGTCACAAAAATAAAAGATGTTGTCCCGTCATCTATTGGTATTCATTGTGTGGTGCACAAGTTGGAATTGGCGATTTCGGGCGCTTGTAAAACTGTGAAACAAATATCAGACTTCGAGGCCACGTTAAAGGGGATATTTCATTTTTACCACTATTCTCTGAAACGTCGACGTGAACTTAAGGATTGCCAATATATTTGAGACTGACTTAGCACATTTCTCGTCAGTCAAACAAGTTCGCTGGTTGGCAAGCAAAGAACGCGCAGTGCAGTCATTAGCGGTAAATAAACTTAGAACACAATTATACTGCTGGTAATCGAGCCGATGATGCAAACCGCGCAATGGGTTATTTAAAGGCAATTAGATTGTCATCTTTCCTGAAGATGCTCTATTTTTTGTTAGATTTTCTTCCAATTATTGCAAATTTGTCAAGGGTATTTCAGCAAGACACGTTGTTAGTTATTGAACTTCCTGATAAAATTGAGCAAACTATTGTGAAGTTAAAAGCTCTGAAAACTGTTCCTGGTACGAATATGAAACATTTCATTGACTGCTATGAACCAGAAACTCATAAATTTGGAGATATTGAAATTAAAGGTATTTTATTACCAGCTGAAGTTTTTGAAAAACTGATTGACAATACCACTAAATATATAAACAACAGATTTATTGAACTTAATGAACCACCATTTAAACAGTTGTTGTGCCTGAACTTTCATCAGTGGCCTATGGATAAACAAGAATTGGCTACATATGGCAATGAAGATATTAATGAACTCATGAACAATACAGTAGTCAAGTCATATTTCAGTGAATCAGAAAGACAGACAATAATTAATGATTGGTTAAACAGGTCACAGACACTTTTGGATGTATACTCAATAACCCTACAGAGTGCAAATGATGTTATTAGTGCACCAGTTAAGAAATTATTGTAATATATGTTAACAGTATCACCTAGTACTAGTGCTTGTGAGAGAGGTTTTTCTAAAGTGAATGTTATAAAAACTGAACTCAGAACTAGACTAAATCATAACAATTTTCAGAACCAATTATTTATTATGTCCAGATTTAGCTGATTATAATCCTGACCCAGCAATTGTTGAATTGTTGAATGGTTGTTATCTTCATCAACTTCAAGGCATATATCCAGGACATAAGTTACCTCAACTGAGATTTTATCAGAAATGTAACTTACTCATGTACATGTATATGTATTAAAAATGAAACATGCTGTTAAAAAATAAAAAATAATGTTAAAACATCATTTCAGGACCAGTGAAATTATTACACGGACTAGTGACAATTTTCTTATCACTAGTCCTGGACCAGTGGAAAAATTCCATATTCTTCAACCCCTGCTTTTCAATGAAAATGAATTCCAGCTAAAATAAAGTATTTTACAATAATTTTGTCTGTACATGGCCTGCTGAAAGCCACTAGGGATAGATCAAATGAGTGCGATAAAAACAGCGTCTGCTGGGAATGTATTAAAAAAATAGAAAATTAGTAAATTTTGGAAGATAAACTGAGCATTGAAACACCAAAATGCTTCTGCAAAATAGGCAAATGCTAATTAAAACTATAAAATGAACAACTGTTATTATGTGAACAATTTAGCAAAATATTAGCAGACCGATATTTTAAAATGGATGTTTCAAGTAAAAAAACATTTTCTGCCATCATCAATTTGCTGACATTCCCAGGGTACAAGGTACTATTAGCATGAAAGTAATAAAATTAACCTTATTAACCATGTATGCCCTGAATAACAGTCTTACTTCATCGATTATATTACATTTTTTATGAATATTTATTTTTACAGCTACAACTATCTGAATGTCTAACAAGCATTCGTAAGTTATTTGTCAAAATTGCTGGAACAGAAGGCGACCTTATTGAACGGAAGGTAACGAAGGAGACTTTCCAAGCTCAGTTAGAAAAGATGGGTATAATGGCTCGAGATAAATCTGACACTTGGTTTACGCTAATTGATTATAATAAAGATGGGTAGGTATATTATATAACATTTATCACAAGTTTTGGTTTGATACTTATTTATGTAACTTCTTCATCTCTGGACTGATTTTGTTCAAAACTGGTACAAAGACAAGCCATGATGAAATGCATGTTAATTTGTTTTGTTGATTTTTGATTGACTGGTTTCTCAAATTATGTCAAAAATCATTTGACATGTCATGAATCGTTTCTCACGCTTGCTATGGCCAAAATCTATTTAAACTTAGTACTGACATCACTCATGGTGTAATACTGAACCATATCATTTTGTTTTGTGATTTGATTCAAATGGCCGACTGTCAGACATTTTGTTTTTTTACAATCCTCTTTCATGTTTTTCAGATGCACTTTTACAGATTTTGTTTAAATTTGGTACAAAGGCATAGCACAATGGGTTGCGTGATCCTCTCTGGTATATTTTGATAAAATTTAACCAATTGGCGGCCATTTTTTTGTCCCCAAAAATCACAAAACATGTCAAACATTTGTCGGGCATACATGTACCTAGGTAGATTTTATTCAAACTTGACATGGACCATTCACTAGGCCTTGACTGATAACTACCGTTGTTGGCATGGTTGAAGTTCCAAAAACACTCGCTGTCGCAGGCCACATTTTACACGTCAATCCGATTACACATTTATTTTACGCTATCAGCGTTCTCACCAGAAATAAATACAAGGTGTAGAATTGTCCCATCAGTTAGAAAGTACAAAACAATTACACCCATACATGTGGAACATAAGACAGAAATGAAGTATTTTGTTCCCCTTATGTTTATTATGTTTGAATTTTATTCTACACTTATAAACTCACTTTTTTTTTACATTTTTGTGAGATAAATTGTCTCTTGAGAGTAGAAAACCTGAGACAATAAATTAAACCATGACGCAAAAGTTTCTTGTCTTTTGTCTGGTGAGTGAGAACACTGCGCTATATTTGACCAAAGATTTGATTTGACAGGGTAGAATGGGATACGTTTTCAGATGACCAACTTTTTTTTCCTTATCAAGATTTTATATTCTCAAAAACTTATTATTTATTATTCCTTATTATCTCTTTATATGTAATCCATAAAGTAATGTAATCTTTTTTTTGCTTGTAGTGTTATTGATTTATTAGACTGGGATAGACTAATGCAGGCTGATCTAAAAATGTCTAAACTCTTCAGAATACCTAACATGGTGGTAAGTCACTTCTGGCAATATTTTTTACAATAACATCTTCACAACTTTCTGTGCCATTATAAGGCTGATATTTGTTTGTTTCATGCTACTTCACTGACTGATGTCATCCACAACTTTCTAGGTCAAAACAAATGTAAAGTTTGTTAACCCCTTGCACACAAAAGTTTTCCTCGCTGAAATGTTATGTTTTTTTTTTTGCTTAATTTTAGACCACATGGCCATAATTTTCCACATCTAGATCCAAATTCTTAAGAAATTACGTAAAATCTGACTTTGTCCTCCAAAAAAAAGTTAAAATCGTTTAAATTTTTTCTCTTTTTTGGTATTTGCTAAATCTCATACTTTAGTGCTATACCTACATTATGAGTGGTGCCTAATTAAAATAATTTAAATTATTGTATTTTTGTTCGCAGACCGGTGAAATGGAATCTCTACTACTGACGCTAACTGAAGACGAAGACAGACAAATGAAAAAAATGATAATGAGAATGAATACGCTAGCCGAGGTGTGTTCATTTCACCATATCGGAATATGTCATATAGAAAAACTTATCTAAACTTGAACATCTACGAAACATAGAAAATAGACCATTTTCTGTTCATTCCGTGATCTTGCGTTATGCATGAAATCAAACGTATTAGACAAACAAAGGTGTTGCAGGGCAAAAAGTGTCTTTTTGGTATTTCTATGCTTAATAATGTGCTACATTGTATACACATTAGATGATGGTCAATTTTGCTGATTTAAGGGTATCTTAACGCCGTATTTCTGTCTGAAAGGTCATCATTTTGACATTGAACTTTAAAAAAAAAGAAATTAAAACTCAAAATCAAATCATTGAATTTTTGCTGTAAACGTTAATCCATGCATTTCATACAATATATCACAGAGTGAATGGAAAGTCATCTATTGTTTTGTTTCTTTCTTTAATAGTTGTCAGAAGTGAAGAAGTGAACGAAAATTATTTTCCTGATTTCACTATTTGTGCGAGTCAGACTGCTCACCAACTTAGATATCTTGTTTAGTGAACTTCCTGCCACGAGTACTTTTAGTAATTGTCTACTTACGTGATAACAATCATTGTTTTATACAGAGAGCAAAAGAAAAGAATGTACGACTGATGATTGATGCCGAGCAGTCTTACTTTCAGCCGGCAATAAGCAGATTAGCTATGGAATTGATGAGGAAATTTAACAAAACGAGACCGGTCATATTTAATACTTACCAGTGTTATTTGAAGGTAAGGCTTCTGTGGTATAATGAATCACCGGCGTATTGACCTTGTCATAAATGGAAAGTTGGTTGCTGTAGTTGATGTGCTTTTGTGGATTTTGTAACAAATTGTCGAGTCATACTGTAAAATCTGTATTAGAATCTGCGACTCCCATTAAAAATGGTACAATGCAACAGACATATGAAAAACATATGAGAAACAAT